TTCCAAGTTCCTTTTTTACCTTTTTTTCTGCAGGCAGTTTTGAGATTGAGATCAATGGACAGCTAGTCTTCTCCACACTCGAAAGCGGTGGCTTCCCGTACACTGAAGATGTGAGTACATAAATACTATCTGTATAATCTGTATATATGAATTTCCCCACATTTCGGTGTTTGTCTGATAGGGTAAATGCAGTTTGTTGTGGAGGCTGATTGGGTGATTGAGTACTGAAGACTTGTTTCAGTCTTGCGGATCTCTTCTCTCTGCAGGTGCTGGATGCCGTCCAGAAAGCTTACGACAACAAACCCATGGAGAAGATCAGCAGAAGCCGCACCTCGTGCATTATCCTGTAACTCGTAGCTGCCTCGTCCTTCCCCTCAGCCTGTGCTCCTTTTTATCGCAGTTTGTCCCCAGAACCCCCAGATGACGCGGTTTTGAGATCAGGCCAGATAAAATTATACAATTGCCCTTATGGTTGTCCCACATGTAAGCATTTTGGGATGTGGGATCATTCGGTTTCTGTTTTTTAAAATTTATAAACATTGTTCTAAAAAGGTAATTGTGGATGGTTCTGCCTTCACTGTAACTGCAAACTATATTGGCTGTAAACTTTATTGATTTTGATTAATTTTGTGGCTGATCCCTATCCAGGTCTCCCCTCAAATATCCAGTTTCATCCACTTCCTGTTCGCATAGCTCGGGGTGTTAGCTGTAGTGATATCTAAACTCTTATCTGTGAATTATAGTAAGAACCTAACCTTTGAACCTCAAGGTCAATGCTGATTGGCTTAGGCTTTGTTGTCGTCTCTCCACCTTTGTCACATTGGCAGGTCAAGCCCTTAATGATGACTAAGCCGAAATTCATAAGAAAGGTTATAGTCTGAACTCCTTGGTCTTGACCTTCCTTATAGAGGACGAGACAAAGGTCCTAGGAGAGAAGACGATGCCCCAAAAGTGAGCTTCTCTGTGCGGTATTCATACACTTGTGCTAACCAGCTTTTCTACAATCCTTCTGAGAACCATAGTCATGCCACACCTTTACTGCTCACCATCAGATCCTGAAGCCTCAGTAAGCATGAGAGGCTTTGCAGAGAGCTGTAAGGCTGGTTAGTCTGCATGTGTCACTCATTCCTGTTACTCGGTGATTCGACTTGG